TGGGGGAAATGAATGAATCAATGTCTTGAGAATTATCTAGAAATGAGTAATCAGAGGTCCTGTGAGTAATTTTTATGTCTCTTGTACGATAAAGAATAGAATCTGCTTATCACAAAGTAAGTCCATTTACCCCTCCTACCCTGGCCACCGTAAACAATACTTTGTACTATATGGCAGGACTCTAGTCTAAAGTTCACACACTAGTTGCTTAGCTAACAGTTTTAGGAGGGAGAAGGAATGGAGGTACGGAAGCTGAGGCAACTATACACCCCGCCCCATGGCGGGCTGAGAGGTACCCCCAACTGAGCACCTTCTATTTTGGGGGGCCAATACTGGGGCTTGAACTCAGGGCTTTGGCTACTTGAATTTTCCACACAAGGCTGCTGTTCTACCACTTGAGCCACAATTCCACTTCTGGATTTCTTTTTATGGTTAAGTGGAGATAAGAGACTTTCAAATTTGTCTGTCTGGGCTGGCTTTGAGCGGCCATCCTCAGATCTTAGCCTCCTGATTAGCTAGGATTACATGTGTGAGCCACCGGCCCATTCCAAATCAACATCTTTTATATGGCCTTTTGCACTGGATCGCCCCTCATTGTTTCCATATGTCCGGCTTGTTCCCCAAGTCCTCCTGCCCCACTGCCTCCTGCCTCCCACCAAACTTCCCAATCTTGTTTTCTCCATTGTCAGCCTTGAAAATATCATTCAAGAAATCAAAATCCAGACTCCAAGCCAGGTGCTGGTGGCTCATGCCTGTAATCCTAGCTATTCAGGAGGCTGAGATCTGAGGATCCCAGTTCAAAGCCAGGCCAGGCAGGAAAGTTCAGGAGACTCTTATCTCTAATTAAACAGCAAAGCTCTATCAGTGAAGGTGTGGCTCTAGAGCTCAAGGCTTGAGCAAATAAAGTTAAAGAATCAGTACCCCTTCTGCCCCCCCCCCCAAATGTCTGGACTCCTTGCTAAGCCCCTGAGGCTCAGCCAGTCCACCAGGCTCCTCCACTGCTTACACCGTAGCTCCAGGGCTGCCTTTTGCTCTGGCCATAAACTGTGCCTGGAACTTTCCACTGTGGGTTCTTACTCATGGTAGTTACTAAGTAAACATTTTCCCCCAGAGAATAAATCCAAGACCTTCCCATTTGTGAGCTACAGTTCAAACTTTTGCTCAAGGCTAGCACTCTACCACTTGAGCCACAGCGCTACTTCCAGCCTTTTCTATGAATGCGGTATTGAGGAATCGAATCCAGGGCTTCATGCATGCAAGGCAAGCATTCTACTACAGAGCAACATTCCCAGGCCTGATCACTCATCTTTTGAGTCTTAAACATCATTTATATGTTCAACAAGGGATAGTTCATTTACTTTGTGCTACTACTGGGGCTTGAACTCAGGACCTCGTGCTCTCCTTTTGGCTTTTCCATTCAAGGCTGAGGCTCTACCACTTGAGCCATAGCTGCACTACTGGCTTTCTGTTGGTTAATGGGAGATAAGACCTCATGGACTTTTCTACCCAGGCTGGCTTTGAACTGTGGATCCTCAAGTCTCAGGCAAATAAGATCTATTTGATGCTTGCAGATAGAACAGCCATCAGGGTTGAGTCCACTTTAGATGCAGTCCTGTCTCCTAGGAGCTCAAAGTCCAAGGGGAAGGGTTAAAAATGTAACTACTAAACAATGGCAGAGAACGATACTGAAACATTTAGAATGCTTTATTCTGATCCACAGTCACTGAGCTTTTACTAGGCTCTAGGAACCAACCTGCAAACTTGTGATGAGTTCTGAAATCATCTGAATAGACCATTTAACTATGGGGAAAATAAAGGACTGAAAAGTTAAGCTGGATTTACCTAGTTGTTGGCATAAATCCCTCCTGGATTCATAGGTAGGGGGTCCCAACTTCCCAGGCACTGGGAACAGGGTGTTATGGGGACACATAGAAGGGGGAGAAGAAGGCAACCCCAGGTAGAAGAAACAGGAGGTCTCAGGAAATGAGATGGCTCAGAACAACCAGAGTGCATGAGTATGGCAAAAAGAGATGAAGCTCTGGGCTGGGAAAGTGGCTCAGTGGTAGAGTGCTTGCTTTGCATACATGAGGCCCTGGGTTCGATTCCTCAGCGCTACATAAGCAGAAAAAGCTAGAAGTGGTGCTCTGGCTCAAGTGGTAGAGCTGTCAGCGCTCAGGCCCAGAGTACAGACCCCATAACCGACAAAAAACAACAACAAAAGAGATGATCTGATGATATGCACTAGTAGCTCACACCTGTGATCTTGCCTGCATAGGAGGTCGAGAGCAGAGGATCAAGGTTCAGAGCCACTCCAAGCAGAAAATTCTGGGAAACTCATCTCCAATTAACCAGTAAAAGATCAAAAGTGGAGTTGGCACTCAAGTGGTAGCGCGCCAGCCTTGAAGCAAGATTATCCAAGCACGCCATGAGTTCAAGTCTCACTTGTGGTGCAAAAACAAACAAAAACCAAAAAACCCACAAACATCTGGGTGGAACCATAGAAAGAGAAAAATAAACGATCCCCTAAACCCTGGGGGCTCCCACGGATGTATTGAATATCTCCTTCGAGGCAGGTGAGGACTGAGGGGAGCTGTGGTGTCTGCTCTTAAGGAATAGGGACATTTGACGTGAACCCTAACATTCCTCTCTGTGTAATACACAAGCCTAAATTCACAGCCTAACCTGATCTGTGTGTGTGTGTGCAAGAGTCTCATGGACTTTCCCATTGCGACTGGCTTCAAACCCAAACCCTCAGATCTTAGCCTCCTGAATAGCTAGAATGACAGGCGTGAGCTGGCCCCAGCATGAGTTTGTGTTCCCAGGTTTGAAGCTTCAGAAGCTGCTGGAGCCCAGGATGGATCTCCACCTGCCATCAAGTAAGCAGGAGAGGAGGCCGTCCCCTGGTCCAGCTCTGGCTACCACCAACAGTCCATGCACCTAGGCCCAGCCCATTGCCACGCCCTGAAACTATACCCTCACGATGCAAGCAGCCGGGCCCATCAGCTCCTTTGCTAAGAGAGGAAGATTCAACCGGACACCCTTCCCACTCCAGTGCCCATGCGCCCACCCACTGGTCTCTGTTAAACCCACCAAACAGCTTAAGAAAGTGGGGGGGGGTGAGGGTCCCTCATGGAGTCCAAGGGAAGGAGTTGCTTGGGGCAAAGCATGTCCAAATCCAGCTGTTACTCTCACCCAGTGTCCCACGCTGCAAACATGGGAATCATCTCAACTCGATCACACCTGAGACCTGACCTGACAGCGGCAGCAGATTCTTCAACCTCCTCTCCTGAGCAGTGGCATCAAAATAACCAGGGTCAGCAGGGCACAGCAGCTTAGGCCTGTAATCCAAGCAACTCAGGAGGCTGAGATCTGAGGATTGTGGTTCAAAGCCAGCCCAAGGAAGAAAAGTCCACAAGGCTCCTAGCTCTAACCACCAAAAAGCCTGAAGTGGAGCTGTGGCTTAAGTAGTAGAGTGCCGGCCTTGAGTGGAGACAGCTAAGGGACAGCATCCAGGCCCTGAGTTCAAGTCCCAGTGCCAGCATGAAGAAAAAGGAGAAAGCATCTTACATTCCTCTTTACGATTTGATTTTCCAAACAACCCTGGGGAACAGCGGCAGGCCTTCATTTAACAATGATAACCTGGAGGCTCCAGGTGGCTAAGTAACTTTAATGGCTTGGCACAAACAACTGAACCATAAATTTGGTCTGGTTGTCTTCCCACCAGATGAGAAGCAGCTGCCTAGCCAGCGGTCTAGATGTTATTATTGACAGTTTCCTATTGAATGGTACAGAGACCCTGCAGAAGAGTCGAAGATCTTAAGTCATTGATTTAGTTATAACATGCAAACCTGCAAACTCAAAGTCCCTGAATTATGGGTGCAGGAAACAATGAATATAGGTTTGTTTGTTTTTTGCCAGTCCTGGGGCTTGAAGTTAAGGCCTGGGCACTGACCCTGAGCTTCTTTTGCTCAAGGTTAGCACTCTACCACTTGAGCCACTTGTTTATATGGTCCTGAGGAATTGAACCCAGAGCTCCATGCATGCTAGGCAAGCACTCTACCACTAAGCCATCTTCCCAGCCCATGAATATAGGTGGGGTTTTTTTTGTTTTTGTCCGTCGTGGGGCTTGAACTCTGGGCTTGGGCGCTGTCCCTGCGCTCTTCAGCTCTTCCAGGTAAGCACTGTTCCGCTTGAGCCACAGCACCACTTCCAGTTTTCTGGTGGTTTATTGGAGATAAGAGACTCACGGACTTTCCTGCCCAGGCTGTCTTTGAACCGTGATCCTCAGATCTCAGCCTCCAGAGTAGCTAGGATTACAGGCATGAGCTGCTGGTGCCCAGCTTGAATAAAGGTTTTATGTGACCAGATAACTAGGGTCAGAAGCAGGCAGGGCCCTGGGACTTCTTAATACAGGACTGAGAGCTTTGACACCCCGTTGTGGAAATCTTAGTAAATGGAGAGAAACACATTCCTCTTGTATAACGAACCCGAGTCTTCACAGCGGGATCAATCCTGACATAAGTAATTACAACAGAGGATCCCTTGGCTAGAAATCCAATTACAAAGATCTGAGGCGCCGGTGGCTCACGCCGGTCACCCTAGCTACACCACAGGAAGCTGAGCTCTGAAAAATCCTGGTTCAAAGCTAGCCAGGGCAGGAAAAAGGTCTGTAAGACTCCTGTCTTCCATTAATCAGCAAGAAAAGCGAAAAGTGAAGCTCAAGTGGTAGAGCACCAGCCTTGAATGGAAAAGCTAAAGGACAAGGGATCAGGCCCCAAGTTCAAGCCCTAGGACTAGCAGCAAAGCCAAACAAACAAAAATTGTAGAGGGAAGACAATCTCTCAGTTTACCCCTCACCCCAATCTACCACCCCCCTCAAAGGGTCTGGCCTTCCCCCACGGGCTTCTCTTCGGCCCGAGGCTGCCCGATATGTACCAAGGAAGAAGGCAAAAGGAACGACAGAAAACAGGTAGGTCAGGGCTGAGCCGAGGCCTTCTTACCTGGGATAGAAGGAATTGCTCCTGTCACTGAGGAATTCTCTGTGGACAGCACAGGTCTTGGAACTCACTGGACTTTGAACAAAGATTGATTTAAAAGCTGATGTATTTAACAGGGGTGTGTGGTCTCAGTTCATGTGACCTCTGGCCTGTTTCCTGTCAGCTGTCTGAGACCTGAGCAGCTAGAAACTCTGACAAACTTCCCAGTCAACCCAACGCGCTGGCCTCCCTGCCAGCCTCCGGCCTCCCTGCCGGCCAGTGCGGTCAGCAACCTCTGCCCAGTGCCCAGACCACAAGAAGGGCGGATGGGAAGGAGGGCTGCAGAGCAGATAAACTGTAACCCCACCCAGAGGAAGGCTAGGTGGGCGGAGAGCCTCAGGAAAAAACCATCAAAGACCCTTGTTGTCCTCACCTGGGACTCCTCTCTCTCCCTGGGAGTTCAGTGCACCTGCAATCCTGGCTTACTCAGGAGGCTGAGATCTGAGGATCGTGGTTGAAAGCCAACCTGGGCAGGAAAGCCCATGAGACTCTGATCCCCACTGAACCAGCAAAAAGTTGGAAGTGGAGGTGTGGCTCAAGTGGTAGAGCACCAGCCTTGAGTGAAAAAAGCTAAAGGACAACACCTAGGCTCTGAGTTTCAGGCTCAGGACTGGCACCAAAAAAAAAAGGCCAAAAAATAAAAAGGCAACCTCTTGAGATATTTTGGTGGAAATTTTTTTTTCCTCTTTCTCACCTGAGTGTCAATTGTGTTCTCCAACTGCTAATAGCTCTTCCTCTCCCAACACTTAAGAGCCTTTCTGTGTGTTTGTGTGTGTGTGTGTCTCTGTCTATCTAGGCCGGCAGGGCCAGGGCGGGCAGGTGGGTGGAATCTGCATGCATTCTTCCCTGGGCCTCTGCGGTGGCTGAGCTTCAGCTGCCCCGGCTCCCAGCTGATCCCGCCCAGCCACACCCACCAGCTGGATCCTCCCACCATGACCACAGACCACAAGACAGTGCTGCAGGTGGGTAGGCAAGGCCACTCTAGGCTGAGGACAGACGAGGTGGCCTTGCCCTCCTTCCATCCACACTCAACGGGGGCCCTTGCAGGACCACCAGCAGTGGCATGACCCAGCCAGCGGGCAAAGGGCATCAGCAGACAAACACCTGAGCTGCTTCCTCCCACAGCTCTCCTCCTGAGCATTGCGGAAGAATGTTTTGAGTGTCAGAATCCAACATCTGAGTCCAAATCCTTTTTTGCAGTATGGGTCTGGGACTTGAACTCAGGGCCTTGAGCTCTCTCCTGGCTGTTTTCACTCTGGCTCTATCGAGTAAGGTAGAGCTCCAGCTCCAGCTTTTTGTTGGTTAAGCCTCAGCTCTACTTCCAGCTTTTTGGTGGTTGATTGGAGATGAGAGTCTCAAGGACTTTCCTGCCCAGGCTGGCTTTGAACTGTGATCCTCAGATCTCAGCCAGCCTCCTGAATAGCTAGGATTACAGGTGTAAGCCACCGGTGCCTGGTTTATGTCTGGCTTTTTGCTGGTTAATTGAAGATAACTGAAATTAATTGAAGAGTTTCAGACTTTTGCTCAGGCTGAGATGCTGAGCTCTCTCTCTCTCTCTCTCTCTCTCTCTCTCTCTCTCTCTCTCTCTCTCTCTCA